TTTGCGGTTACATTTGCGCTTAGGGTTTTCAAACTACATACTGTACATTTTCCTTTAGGGGAATCATAGATTCCCCTATCCTGTTAGTAAGACGCCATATGATGCCCATAAAACATCGTAATTAATGCGGCTCTTGTATTACACTCTCTAGGCAGCATAAATAAACAGACAGATGGGCTACTGCATGGACAAATTTTAAAGTCTTCAAAAATCTACAAACTAAAATTCTTAAGCCGAAGAAATATCTTTTCTTCCATGATAAGATTTAAGAACACGCAATTTGTTATCAGATGAGTACAAGTACTACTTTTTGTGCGTGTTTTCTGTAAAATAGACTTGAATATATATCAGCATTGAACGTCAATAAAAAATAATAATATTTTTACCTAGGCAGCCGGAAAAAAGTTCATTCAATGGTCGAAATTACATCGTTACTGAAATATCCTGGGATTATGCTGCAGGACAATCGATATTACAACTCTACATAGGTAATCCCTTCTAATCGAATTTCGGATAACATTTCAGTAAAGAGGCCAGATACTGTAAGAGGCAAATAATAATTCGCTTTCCGAATACCCGAGGATACTAATTTCCTGCGTTCGTTCGAACTCTCTCGCGACGACTCCCGTGTGTCTTGTTAACTGGTGACGATGGGAAATTATGAGTTGTCTGTAAGTACGTCACAAAGCGGGCGCTTAGAAAGTGTCTACGATGAGGATAGGTTGTGTAACCCTACTAGATTTAATATACGTAAAACTGTCTACTTTAGTTGCTTTAGTAGGTCTTTTCTTGTTTATTATCTCATAGTTACGAGAAGCCACCGTTACACTTCAATGTTTTTGCTGTTGCTACTGAAAAAGTCGGGGCGACGGTCATGAGAAAGAGGCAGAAGCCGGAAACGCCCGAGACGACTGCTTTAGACTGTTGTTTCAGAAACACCCGTTAACGCAGTGGAATGAAATCATTATCGTACATCCAGGCAAAGTGTGAGTAGGAGTGGCGACCAGTTGTAGTATGGCAGTAAACGCGCTGGGATGTGCAAGGTCGCGTTATGGTGCGTAAGTGCAATATTTGAGCTTATGGCCCTTGAGACGGTGGCTTCAACGTGGAGGTAAAAAACGGCAATTCTAGGTTAATTAAAAACTATGACAACTTGGTAGAATAGAATGGTAGATATTTGTTAAAATTGGACATCGAAATTCAAGAGCCATTGAGACAGATTATACAGCCGCTAGCCAGCTAGCAATTGACCTTCAGTCGGTAAACCAAACCTGCTCCTAGTTCGGCATTCACAGCCACACCTACCACAGCCCTTTTGAAACTAAGTGAAGCATCGCGGTCGAGCAGACATTCCGTATAAAACTGGCTAGCTCTACCAATTGTGTCAACTTGCAAGCAGCGTTAGGAGCGACATTAAAACTCACCGCTAGTGTCCGATCACGAAAAATTATTCGCAGGAGTGCACTCATAGGACGCGTTAAACAACGATAGCCAGCAGCCGACATCTGACAGGCAGACACAGCGGATAGCACTTTAGCAAGGCTCAAACGCCGAAGACCTTTGATT